TCTATCTATCTATCTATCTATCTATCTATCTATCTATCTATCTATCTTTGTCAACATACAAAGAATCTATCCTGTTTATATCCTGCAATATAACTAAAAATAAAGAAAAAGGCTATGTATTTTGTTACCTGCTATGGTGACATTGAAGATGAGCTTCTGGCCACCAGCTTCACAGGTGTATTCACCTTCATCTTTCTTCTCCACCTGTTGAACAACCAGGCGCCGGGATCTGCCTTCTGCTTCTACCTTGAATTTCTTGTTGGAGGTGATCAATTTCCCATTCTTGAACCATTTGACTTCTGTCTTGACATGGGTCACCTCACAGCTGAGGGAGATGGTCTCTGAAGCCACAGCCTTGATGTCCTTCTGGACCTTCTCCTTGTTGGTAAACATCTCAGCGTCTCTATCTAACGGTGGAAAGAATGGAGAATGCTTCTTAATTCACTTTCTGTTCAGGACATTTTGACAGACAGACAGACAGACAGACAGACCGACAGACAGACAGATTGTATATGTAATATAAAGGCATTTTACCTGCAACTGTGATTTTGAAAGTTAGTTTCTGGCCATCAGCTTCACAGGTGTATTCACCTGCATCTTTCTTCTCCACCTGTTGCACAATGAGACAACGGGATCCACCTTGTGCTTCTACTTTGAATTTCTTGCTCATGGTGATCAGTTTTCCATCCTTGAACCATTTCACTTCTGCCTTGGCCTGGGCCACTTCACAGCTGAGAGAGACATCCTCTGAAGCTACAACCTTGATGTCCTTCTGGACCTTTTCTTTGTTGACAAACGCCTCTTTAACTTTTTCATCTTAGAAGTGGGAATAGAGAACAAGACACATTTAACACTTGAAGTAATGAGTTTTAAAAAGGAGCTGTCATCTATACATTCATGCTCCATAAAATATGGTCATCCTCATATCTTGGTCATCCTCATTAAGTGACAATCACCTATATATGAGCTCACAGTGTTTTACAGCTGCCAAAAAAGCCAACACAGTCCTAAGCTGCATTAATAGAGGGATAGAATCAACATAACGTGAAGTGTTAATGCCATTCCAGTTTTGGTTGCCACGATATAAAAAAGATGTTGAGCCTCTGAAAAGAGTGCAAAGAAAAGCAACAACATTTATTAGCAGGCTGAGGCTAAAACATATGAAGAAAGGTGGCAGGAATTGGGTATGTCTAGTTTAATGTAAAGGAGGACTAGGTGTAATATAATAGCCGTCTTCTAATATCTGAGGATTGCCACAAAGAAGAGGGGCTCTACCTATTCTCCAAAGCATCTAAAGGCAGGACAAGAAGCAATGAATGGAAACTAATCAAGGAAAGAAGCAACCTGGAATTTAAGGAGAAATTTCCTGACAGTGAGAACACTGAAATAGACAGTGAGAGCTGAAGAAGCTTCTTGGGTGAGAAGCAAAATGTCTTCAAAGAAAAGAAAAACCAGAAAGTCTGGCTGCCTCTTGAAAAAGCACCTTTGGGACAATCCTGACGTGGATGACTGAGAATCTCCATGGCTAGTACAACAATTAATCAGTGGAACGGCTTCCCTCCAGAAGTTGTGGGACTTTTTAAGAAGAGATTGGAGAACCATTTATTTGAAATAGTACAGGGTTTCCTGCTTGAGCAAGGGCTTGGACCTCCAAGTTCCTTTCCAATCCTGTTATTATGTTATCCTCCATATGGCTGTTCTTTTCTTGCCAAACTCATCCTGAAGTTCTCAGCCAAATCAACCCTAAAATGTCTCAAGATAACTATTTTGGCTACTATGGGTAGCAATGTTTGGACCTCGAACCTGGGTTGCTGGTTTTCCAGCATCACTTTGGTACCACTTTGGTGGAAAAGTAACAACACTCCATGATGCCATGCTGGCCAGATGACCACAGAAAATCTTCAGACAGCACTGGCTCAATGGCCTTGAAACAGAGATGAGCAGAGTAAAATCCATAGAGACTGTTTTACCTTTATATCAGTAATTGCATGACTTCTGTAGATGCTTATATACTAAATAAATAAATAAATCTAGGGCTAGCATAAATAATTACTTCCAAAACAGTCATGACTGAAGCATTTGGAAATGAAATACCTAAATATACTATAATTAATTCTAAAAGTATGAAAAATGTGGAGTCCTTGTTGCTCTTTCTGCAGATGTTCCATGACCCAGCTAGGGATCATCATCAGTGCAAGAAGGGAGTGGGGTTGGCTCCTTGTTTATATACAGTAGTGTATACGGAGTGTGTATGGTTTTTCTCTTTGGTTAGAGTATTATTTTTTGATTGATCATTTGTCTGGTGTTAATCCTTGCTTATCTGGATGCCAGGTGCTGGAGAGGATGCATTCTGGTTTTTTTGCTTCCTTCTTAGTTTTTCTATTGTCTTTTTTGAAAAGTGTGTAAATGTTGTTTATCTCTATGTATCCACTGATACATAGACATGATTAGGACAGATTAAGTTACTTAGTCGGGCAATGAAACATCTTCAAGAAAACCACCAAGCTCAGAGAGTGTCAGTTCAACCCTGACCTACAAAAATTCTTCTCAGATCTGCCTCAGCTTGATTATTCTTAGTAAGAACAATCCTTAACTCCATTTATTACTAAAGGCCAAGTGAACTACAGTAAATGCATAGCCAGAACTGCAACTCGTGCGCCAAAATACCCAAGTCTAACTTTTCTTTCCTTTTGTTGCCTCCCATCACGGGCTTCCCATGTCTAATCAAGTTCAAATAAGATGTTTCAGAACAGTCACTTCTGAATGATAGGTTTGGTATGCAGTTGTGTACAGTTCCCAGCTGATTGACCTTGAAGTTTCTCCTCCTTCCCATCTAGCTCCCACCTTGAGTTCATGCAAGTTTGAGGTGGCAGCTGACAATTCTCTTCTATTAGCATGCAAAATCTTTTCCTACCTGCAACCGTGACTTTGAAGTTCAGCTTCTGGCCATTGGCTTCACAGGTATATTCACCTGCATCTTTCTTCTCCACCTGTTGTACAATTAGATGCCGGGATCTGCCATCTGTTTCTACCTTGAATTTCTTGCTGGCAGTGATCAGTTTCCCATCCTTGAACCACTTGACATCCGTTTTGGCCTGGGCCACCTCACAGCTGTGAGAGACAGTCTCTGAAGGAACAGTCTGGATGTGCTTCTGAATCTTTTCCTTGTTGGCAAACATCTCCTCAGCGTCTCTATCTGGTAGTGAAAAGATAATCAAGATATGTTCATTCATTTCTCTTAATGACTAAAATCATGAACATCAGAAGGTGCAAATCCCTTCTATTCATTCCACACATCGTCCCATCATGGACCCTTGGTGTTCTCTGAGTTTGGTGGTTTTCTTGCAAACATTTCATTATCCAATTACATAACACCATCAGGGCTAGAGGGCCTGGAGTTTGGCTTTATCTGTCAGTTTTGGTGTGAGATATGTTTTCTCCTTCATAGTTCCTTCATTAAAATATTGTTTTCAAGGAATCAAGGTATAGTTTAGCTACAATTCAGTTTATTCAGCTATATTTATTATTTCTTTTCGGGTCCAACACTGATTAAATTTTGCTGCTGGGTTCAACTTCTGCTAGATTCCCAGCTACATATACTATGCATAATAGATCTATAGCACTCTGCTGTTTAAAACTCATTTTAGAAACAAATCTTTGCATTGACCTAACTTTAAGCTGATTTCTTAGAGCTTAAAGGAACAACCAGCAAAAAAAAAAGGAATTTTTTGCCACCTTTATCTTCATGCTTAGAAAGATGTAAAGGAAAATAGAACGGTGTTCCCACCTGTAACTGCAACTTTGAAAATGAGCTTCTGGCCACCAGCTTCACAGGTGTATTCGCCGCCATCCTTCTTCTCCACTTGTTGAACAATCAGACGCCGGGATCTCCCTTCAGCTTCCACCTTGAATTTCTTGCTGGAGGTGATCAATTTCCCATCCTTGAACCACTTGACATCTGCCTTGGCCTGGCCCACCTCACAGCTGAGGGAGACATCCTCTGAAGCCACAGCCTTGAAGTCCTTCTGGACTTTCTCCTTGTTGGTAAACATCTGCTCAGTTTCTCTATCTAATGGTTGAAGGAATGGAGAAAGCTTCTTAATTCACTTTCACTTTAAGACATTTTGTTATATTTCTTTACATCTAAAATTCTGAGCTTCAAGAAATTCTGAGCATCTAATATATGTCATCCTATACCTAGATGTTTGCCTAATTGGAAAAACACCATTTCAGTTTCCCAATCTTGACAAAAAATTACTTTTAAAGGTAAAAAAAATCATATCTAATTATTGCTCCAAGTATCCTTCTTTAGTCTAACATTGAGGTCTTCTGGATCTTCTGCTTGTTGACCAACTACTTGAGCATGATATAGAAAACATGGCAAAGCCATCAAAAAATTTAAAGTAGGATTTGGAAGTTAACAGAATCCTTATTCAACTTTTGTTCTAATGATTATAGGGCTATTTGACACTGATGACCTTTGTCCAATTTCTGACCAGTTGTCCACTTACATGCACTAGGAAGAATAAAACAAAAATAGAGGTAGTCCTTAACTTACACCCACACTTGAGCCCAAAATTTCTGTTGCTCAGTGAGACAGTTAAATGATTTTTCTCATTTTACAACCTTTTTTGCACAGTTATTAAGTGAATCATTGCCCTTGTAAAGTTAGTAACATGGTTGTTAAGTGATTCTGGCTTCCCCATTGACTTTGCTGTCCAAAGGTTGCAAAGGTGATCACATGACTCTGGGACACTGCAACAATATTAATCAGTTGCCAAGCATCTGAATTTTGATCGTGTGATCATGGGGATGCCACAATGTAAAAGCAGTCATAAGTGACTTTTTTCACTGCCGTTGTAACTTTAAATGAACTGTTGTGAGTCAAGGACTACCTGTATATCTACCTGCAGAAGGAAAAAAAAACTGTTTGCAGAAACACACATTCATTTGGACACAAGTTGAGGATTCTCTATCAGTGCTCTCCTGAATGATCAATAAAAAATAATATTGGTTTAGTCACTTTTATCTTTATACATGAGATGAACGTATGGAAGAAAGTGAAGTGTTCCTACCTACAACTGCAACTTTGAAGTTCAGCTTCTGGCCACCAGCTTCACAGGTGTATTCACCACCATCTTTCTTTTCCACCTGTTGTACAATCAGATGCCGGGATCTACCTTCTGCTTCCACCTTAAATTTCTTGCTGGAGGTGATCAATTTCCCATCCTTGAACCACTTGACATCTGTCTTGGCCTGGGCCACCTCACAACTGAGAGAGACATTCTCTGAAGCTACAACCTTGATATCCTTCTGGATCTTCTCCTTGTTGACAAAAATCTCCTCAGCTTCTCTATCTAATAGTGAAAGGAAGGTTCAAATCATCTTAATTCACTTTCTCCTTAGGATATTTTGACATTTTCCTTTACAAGCTAAAATTCTGAGCTTCAAGAAGGTCCAAGCTACATATTCTATGCCATCCTACATCTAGGTGTTTTCCTCATTGGCAAGTACCACCTCAGTTTCCAGATCTTGACCAAGATCAAGCAAAAAAAAATACTTTTAAAGGTTAAAAAAAATCAATATTTAGGATTTAAGGAACCTGTTTTTTGTCTAGCCCTGATGTCTTTCTGAACCTTCTCCTTCTTGACAAACATTTCAATTCCTCTGGAAGGAGAGGATAACATGCCTTCATTCACTTTTTAAGGCTATTTTATCATTTCCCTAATTGCCAATGTGATGAATATCAGGAAAATCCATACTGGATAGTCTACCCAGATAGTCCTTGACTTATTATCACAATTGAGCCCAAAATTTCCATTGCTAACCAGGACAGATTCTGAGTGAATTTGGCCCCATTTTATGACCATTCTTGCCATGGTAGTGAATCGTGGCAGTTATTAAGTTAGTAACATGGTTGTTAAGCAATTCTGACCTCCCCATTGACTTTACTTATCAGAAGATCGCAAAAGAGGATCATGTGAACCCCCACTCACCCCTGGATACTGCAACCATCAAAAATATTAGTCTGTTGCTGAGCTTCTGAATTTTGATCATGTGAGCATGGGGATGCTGCGATGGCTATGTGAAAAACAATTGTAATTCACCTTTTTCAGTGCCGGTGTTTCAACTGTCACTAATGTGATCACCATTTCTACCTTCTCAGCTGGCTTCTGATGAGGAAAGTTAAACAGAGAAACTGGATTCATTTAACAACCACGTTGATCTGCTTAAGAATGGCGGCAAAAATGTAAAATTGGACATGGCTCATTTAACAACCCCCTTAGAAATGGAAATTCTAGTTCAAATGGTGGTCATAACTCAAGGACTACCGTTCCAATGGAGCCTCTGGAGGATGATCAACTAAAAAAGTATTATTAGGTCTGTTTGATCTTTCTATATCAGAAGATGTAAAAAATATATAAGTGTTTGTACCTGCAACCGTGATTTTGAAGGTGAGCTTCTGGCTATCAGCTTCACAGGTATATTCACCTCCATCCTTCTCCTCCACCTGTTGGACAACCAGACACCGGGATCTGCCTTCAGCTTCCACCTTGAATTTCTTGCTAGAGGTGATCAGTTTTCCATCCTTGAACCATTTGACTTCTGTCTTGGCCTGGGCTACCTCGCAGCTGAGGGAGACATTCTCTGAAGCTACAACCTTGATGTCCTTCTGGACCTTCTCCTTGTTGACAAACACTTCTATAGCTTCTCTGTCTAATAGAAGAAGGAATTGACAAAGCACTTCCTTTTTAGGTTAATTTGGCAGTTTCCTTTTCAGCTAAAGTTCTAAGCTACAAGAATATCCAACTATACAGTAGTCATTTTAAATTACAGTGGCTGAAATCAATAATAAAAAACCTTCCTTGATATAGTTTTGCAACCCAAAAAAACTACGTTTGTTAATGTAGTGACACCCTGATTACATTTGTATCCAGAAACAGGCTAAGACAATTCTACCTGCAACTGTGACTTTGAATGTGAGCTTCTGGCCACCAGCTTCACAGGTGTATTCGCCGCCATCCTTCTTCTCCACCTGTTGAACAATCAGACGCCGAGATCTGCCTTCTGTTTCCACCTTGAATTTCTTGCTGGAGGTGATCAGTTTTCCATCCTTGAACCATTTGACTTCTGTCTTGGCCTGGGCCACCTCGCAGCTGAGGGAGACATCCTCTGAAGCCACAGCCTTGAAGTCCTTCTGGACCTTCCCCTTGTTGACAAACATCTCCTGAACTTCTTTATCTGGTGAGGGAAGGAAAGAGGCAGAAATGTTCGTTAACTGCTTCTTTCTGGTGGCAGTTGGTAGTTTCCATTAACTACTAAACATATGTTCTTCAGAAACACTCAAAGATGTATCCTACAAAACGCACATCTCAATCTTCTCTTAGTTGGCACCAAGAACCCCAGCCCTCCTCCTCCTCTGCCTACTTCTTCTCCTCCTCCTCTTCTCTGCAAACACCACTCCTTTCTAGCACTGATAGTGTTACCTAGTTGGATCATGAAACATTTGCAAGAAAACAACCAAGCTCCCCACAGTTCTCCTCCCCCCAAACCTCCCTCTGATAATGATATAACCTCAATATCTGGACTGTGGTCCCATCCCATCTCAGGTGAAACATGTCTAACCCCTAAGAACGGTTATTTATAATGAATGGTTGCTCTAATTAAGTGTGGCTTTCTTGAACCTCAATGTATTTTCTCTTGAGTAACCAACCATCCATGATTTGAAGTTAGCTGGACTATTTTTCTAGAAAAATGAATCTTATTGTCTCATTCCAGGAAGTAGGAAACAAGCAGATCTGAATCTGAATCATTTCAAGTATGTTGGCCAGATCCAGGAAGGAATGTTTGGTGGATTTGCCAAAATATTGAATGATTGATTTAATTATTTATTTATTAAGAAACTTTACATAGCCTACCACTCATGTTGACTGGATGGTTTACAAAGATGAAATCCTGATAAATCCTGAAATCAATAGACACCCACAATCAGACCAACCACTTGACGGATTCCATATCACCATGGGGTTCCAGGGCCCATTGCCCAAACCATGTCTTAAATGTCTTTCAGAAGACTCTAAAGGTGATGGCCAATCTTATCTCTGCAAGTTGATGTTTCACAGGAAGGAAGCCACCACGGAGAAGGCTTCTTGGTCCTACCAAATGGGCCTCCTTAAGAGAGAGGACTTATACTTTCCCCTGCCTCCCTGCTCTGGTGGTCAGGTAGATGTCACTGGGAAAAGATATCTGGTCCTTCAGATAACCTGGCTTTAAGCCATATAGGCTTTGAAGGTGACAACTAGCACCTTGAATTGGACCCAGAAGCAAATATATTTGTGATAGATCAAAGCATCAAAATATCTATTAATTTTTGTCAACCTAGGTAGATTTGCTACTTATATCTGGAAATATAATGATGAAGGAAAAGACTGAGGGATTTTTTTCCTACCTGTTACAGTTACTTGGAATTTCAGCATCTGACCATCTGCTTCACAGGTGTATTCACCTGCATCTTTCTTCTCCGCCTGCTGGACAACCAGATGATGAGATCTATCTTCTGCTTCTACTTTGAATTTTTTGTTGGAGGTGATCAATTTTCCATCCTTGAACCATTTAACTTCTGTCTTGGCCTGGGCCACCTCACAGCTGAGAGAAATGTTCTCTGAAGCTACAACTCTGATGTCTTTCTGGACCTTCTCCTTGTTGACAAAAACTTCCTTAATTTTTTCATCTAGCCATAGAAGCAGAAGACAAAACACATTTATTCACATTAGAGCTTCTGAGTGCTCTTCTTAACAACCAACCAAAAATTGATTGATTTGACCACTTCTAACTCTATGGAAGATATAAAGGTAGTTGTACCTGTAACCGTGACTTTGAAAGTGAGTTTCTGGCCATCAGCTTCGCAGGTATATACACCTGCATCTTTCTTCTCCACCTGCTGAACAACCAGACAACGAGATCCACCTTGTTCTTCTATTTTGAACTTCTTGGTGTCAGTGATCAGCTTTCCATCTTTGTACCACTTGGCATCTGTGTTGCTCTGGGCCACCTCACAGCTGAGAGAGACATTCTCTGAAGCCGCAGTCTTGATGTCTTTCTGGACCTTCTCCTTGTTGACAAAGACTTCCTTAATTTTTTCATCTAGGAGTAGGAGCAGAAAACAACCCACATTTATTTATGTTAGAGCTTCAGAGTCCTTTTCTTAAAAATCAACTAAAAATGGATCGATTTGACCACTTTTAACTCTATGGAAGATATAAAGGTAGTTGTACCTGCAACTGTGACTTTGAAGGTGAGCTTCTGGCTATCAGCTTCACAGGTATATTCACCTGCATCTTTCTTCTCCACCTGTTGAACAATCAGACAGCGGGATGCACCTTGTTCTTCTATTTTGAACTTCTTGGTGTCAGTGATCAGCTTTCCATCTTTGTACCACTTAACATCTGTCTTGGTCTGGGCCACCTCACAGCTGAGAGAGACGTTCTCTGAAGTCACAGTCTTGATGTCTTTCTGGACCTTCTCCTTGTTGACAAAGACTTCCTTAATTTTTTCATCTAGGAGTAGGAGCAGAAAACAACCCACATTTATTTATGTTAGAGCTTCAGAGTCCTCTTCTTAAAAATCAACTAAAAATGGATCAATTTGACCACTTTTAACTCTATGGAAGATATAAAGGTAGTTGTACCTGCAACCGTGACTTTGAAGGTGAGCTTCTGGCCATCAGCTTCACAGGTATATTCACCTGCATCTTTCTTCTCCACCTGTTGAACAATTAGACAACGGGATGCACCTTGTTCTTCTATTTTGAACTTCTTGGTGTCAGTGATCAGCTTTCCATCTTTGTACCACTTAACATCTGTCTTGGTCTGAGCCACCTCACAGCTGAGAGAGACGTTCTCTGAAGCCACAGCCTTGATGTCCTTCTGGACCTTCTTCTGGTTGACAAATATTTCCTCAACTTCTCTATCTAACAGTGGAAGGAATGAACAAAACATCTTAATTAACTTTCTTTTTAGGACATTTGATCATTTTTATTTAAAACTAAAGTTCTGAGCTTTAAGAAGGTCCAACTGACAGATTATATACCAACTAAGATAGGTCATCCTACATCTAGATGTTTGCCTCTTTGGCACACACCACCCTGGCTTCTGATTGTTGATCAAAACAACATCTAAAATCACAAAATTTAGAAAAATCCAAACAAGGTAATTTTTATTTCCTAGGGTCTGTACTTGTAAGATACAGCCATCTGTATTTTTGTCATCTTGTTGAAGCTCTCCTTAACATCTGAATAACTGTACAGGTAGTCCTCAACTTATGACCAGAACTGAGCCCAACATTTCTGTTGCTAACTGAAACAGTTTAAGTGAATTTTGTCCCACTTTATGATCTTTCTTGCCACAGTTGTTAAGTGAATCACTGCAGTTGTTAAGTTACGCACCCAATTGTTAAATGAACCTGACTTCCCCATTGACTTTGCTTGTCAGGAGGTCGCAAAAGGGGATCATCTGACCCCAGACACTGCAACTGTCATAAATACATGCCAATTACCAAGCATCTGAATGTTGATCACATAACCATGGAGATACTGTGACAGTTGCAAGTATCAAAAATGGTCATAAGTTTCTTTTTTTAAGTAATGTTGCAACTTTGAATGGTCACTGAATGGACTGTTGTATGTCAAGGACTACCTATATTAACAGTACCACAGGAAAATTAAGATTTTTACCTGTTACAATCACTTTGAAGGCCAGTTTCTGGCCATCTGCTTCACAGGTGTATTGACCTCCATCCTTCCTATCAGCTTGTCGGATAATCAGCCAGCGAGATTTCCCTTCTGTTTCAATCTTGAATTTCTTGCTGGGGGTGATGAGTTTCCCATCCTTGAACCATCTCGCTTCAATCGTGGGCTGTGCCACTTCACAGCTGAGAAAGGCATTTTCTGAGAGAATAGCTCTGATTTCTTTCTGGACTTTCTCCTTGTCGAAAAAGACCTCTGTAGGCTCTGGGGTGAAGAACAACAGAAAATCAGAGTTGGAAGGGACCCTGGAGTTCTTCCAGTCCTGCTCAAGAAGAGATAAATCACATGAGTATTTCAATAAAGACTCAGCTATATGCATGTATGTATCTATGTATGTTTGTATGCACCGATATTCATCCATCCATCCATCCATCCATCCATTCGTGTTCTGCCTTTATTCTTTTTACAAATAACTTATGGCAGTGAACACGTCCAACACACCTTCCTCCTCCTATTTTCCCCACGACAACAACCATGTGGCATGGGGTGGGCTGAGAAAAAGGGATTGACTCAAGTCACCCAGCTGGCCTAAAGCAGGACTAGAACCCATAATCTCCTGGTGATTGGCCCAAAGTAACCTATCTGACTTTCATGGCTAAGGTGGGACTTGAATTCACAGTCTCTCGCTTTCTAGCCCTGTGTGTTAACCACTAGACCAGTTTTCTCTTATCCATTTTCTTTTCTTGATTTTATCCCTCTTGGAAGTCTCAGTTGACATTCTGCCCTAAAATGCAATTCTTACAAATTGTGGGGTGTTGGTCAGGGAAGTGTGAAGTTTTGACTGATAGAGATAGAGATCTGCAGGTTGTTTCAGCTAATAATACAGCTCAAAATTCCTTTATTTACTGGCATGTTCATTGTTCTGGATACATCCTCCCCACAAATCCAATTGCCTTGGCATCTGATCACTGCCTTGAAACTTGTTAAAGATCTGAGCTTGAAATTCAAAACCACAACAGCATCTTGGTCAGCTGTTTCCATGCAAAGGCTTAGGAAAATAAATGCAGATGATAGTTAATATTACAGATAGTCCACATCTTATAACCGTTCATTTACTGACCGTTCAAAGTTAAAACAGCACTGCAAAAGGTGACTTAGGACACTTTTTCACACTTACGACCATTGCAGCATCCCCATAGTCACATAAATAAAATTCAGACACCTGGCAACTGGCTCCTATTTATGATGGTTCCAGTGTCTCAGGGTTATGTGATCCTCTTTTGTGACCTTCTGAAAGCAAAGTCAGTGGGGAAGCCATTCACAACCGTGTGACTAGCTTAACTAACAACTGCAAGGATTCTTTTAACAACTGTAGCAAGAAAGTTCATAATAAGGGGCAAAACTCATTTAACAAATGTCTCACTTAGCAACAGCAATGTTGGGCTCAATTGTGCTCTTAAGTTGAGGACTAGCTGTACAGACAAATTTCAAAGGAAGGACCATTTCTTACCTTTGACCTCCACCTGGAAGGTTAGTTGGTCATCTTTTGATTCACAGCTATAAACCCCTTCATCTTCCTTGATAGCGTTTTGGACAATAAGTTTTCGCTGTTTTCCCTGAACGGAAAATGTTACCCTTTGGTCTGGCTTGATGTCCTTCTTCCCCTTTTTCCACAAGACTGCATCAGTAGCTGAGGACACCTCACAAACCAGCTCAAACTTCTCACAAAGGTTGACTGAAATCCCGGGGGCTGACTCATTGACAAATGTGGCCACTTCATCTAGAAAAGAGGGATGAAATTCAGTGGTCTGGACATCTGATACAAGCTACGATGACATCGAATGTGTCCCAGTCTCATTGGGCAAAAGGACAGAAAGAGCAAATTAGGTCATTTGTCCATAGACGTTGTGATAAGTAATGTCATCATATCCTTTGTCTAAATCCAGCCACCCCCAACATAGAGATACAGGGAGTCCTCCACGTACAGCCATTCATTTAGTGACTATTCAAAGTTACAATGAGATTTATACCATACCACCTATGATCATGTGATTTACATTCAGATATATGGCAACTGATTCATATTTATGATGGTTGTGGTGTCCTGGGGTCATGCAATCACTTTTTGCAATCTTTTCACAAGCAAAGTCAATGGGGAAGGCAGATTCACTTTACAATCATGTGACTCACATAACAACCACAGTGATTCACTTAACAAAGGTGGCAAAGAAAGTCATAAAATGGGGCAAAACTTACTTAACAAATGTCTCGCTTAGCAACATAAGTTATGGAGTCAATTATGGTCGTAAGTCAAGGACTACCTATATTTATGAAATGTGATCACCATTTGTAAACTGGTTTCTAATAAACAAAGTCAAAATGGGAAACCAGATTTGCTTAACAATCACATGATTCACTTAACAACTGAAGTGATATGTTTAAGTGTGGCCGAAAAAGTCAATAAATGAGATGTAACTCACCTAACAATTGTCCTGCTTAACAACAGAAATTTGGGGCTCAAATATGGTTGTAAGTCAAGGACTACCTGTACTTGCTGAATCAATGCCTGAAATAACATATGGCACATCTCGGGGAAATTGGAGAATGGATGTCCTTTGCATAATTTGCCTAACATGATCCTACAAATGATGAGTAGGCGTCCAAATGGCATTGTCTCAATTATTTCATTGTACCAATGACATGACACAAATTTGCACAAAGGGAATAAACTGCATCCCTGAATGGTACATTGAACATCTACCAACTTAGAAAAATTCAGATATGCTGGTTGTCTTCTTTCCATCTTTCGCAGCATTATGGACTTCTTAAGGAATCTGGTTTTTTGTTTTTTTCGTTGGTTGAGGAATGCTCCATCAGATTGGTTTTGACTTGGTGACCATCTAGATCTTCTTCAGGTTGATCTGTACCCAACTTCAAGTCTTGCAGTAGGGCATTCATCACCACCATAATTGAGTCCCTCTACCTTCTGCTGGTCCTTCTCTTCTACTTCTTTATCTTTTCCACTATTATAAAGTTATCAAAGGATCCTGTTTTTTTTCATTGATTAATGAATCACGTTCCATCAAGTTGGGGTTGACTCTTGGTGACCATCTAGATGTTTTCCAGGCTGATCTGTATCCACTTTGGCCCTTCATGTTTTCCAATAAGGCAGGGGGGTCAAACTCGCAGCATCATGTTATCGTCATGTATCATGGCTTTCCCCCCCTTTATTAAAATGGGGGACATGATGCATTCGAACCATAGGCTGCAAGTTTGACACCCCTGCAATAGGGCATTCATGGCCACCATAACTGAGTCCATCCACCTTTTATTGGACCTCCTCTTCTTCTTTTTCCTTCCACCTTTTCCAGTATTATGGGCTTCTCCAGAGAGTTAGATCTTCATGCTGAATAATTGTGTCATTAAGTTGGTGAAGATTCTCAGGAACCACATTGACAGATCTTCTCTAGAATGATTTGTCTCCAACCTGATCCTTCATGATTTCTAATAGTGCACCCATCACCACCATAACTAAGTTCATCCATCTCACTCCTGGTCATCCTCCTCTTCTCTTTCCCTCTATCTTTAATAGCATTGTGGACTTCTCAAGGAGCTTGGTGTTTCCATTGACTGATTGACTGATGGATTGACCATCAACTTGGTGTCCAGCCTTAGTGTCCAAATAAACAGACCTTCTCCAGGAAGATCCTTCTTTAACATGGTTCTTCAGGTCTCCCAGCAGTGCTTCTATAATTGAGTCTCTCAACATTGCTGCCTGTTGTCATTCTTTCTCAGCATTGTTAGCTTGGTGTTTCTTTAACTTGCTTCTTCAGGTCTCCCAACAGTGCCTCCATCACCACTATGGCTGATTCTTTCAATCTTTCTGCTGGTCATCCTCTGCTCTTTCCATCCACCTTCTCCAGCATTGTAGACTTCTCCAGACAACAGAATCTTTCCACAATGTATCCAATGTATGATAATTTGAGTCTCCTTATCTCTTCTACCCCATTCCAAACAAAAAAAATATCAACAAGGTCAGCCACAACTAGACGACAGAAGCACCACTCCTGTGCACAACACACATATAAAAGGAGTGGAACTTCAGACCCACAGTCTTTTGACTTTTTATCTTCTCCGTGGACATCCCATCCCTATCCTTGCCAAACTGACATGTTGGTTTTGTCTTCCAAGCTCATGTTTGCCCATAATTATTTCTTAAGTTAGGAATCTACAGTTTGATTTCAGCTTCCTAAAGATCTCCTAAAATTAAGATCTGAAGATCATGGTCAGAAGAAAGGAAGGAAGGAAGGAAGGAAGGAAGGAAGGAAGGAAGGAAGGAAGGAAGGAAGGAAGGAAGGAAGGAAGGAAGGAAGGAAGGAAAGAAACAAAGAAAGAAAGAAAGAAAGAAAGAAAGAAAGAAGAAAGAAAGAAAGAAAGAAAGAAAGAAAGAAAGAAAGAAAGAAAG